CGCTTCACATAGGCCTAATGCCCATGTACTTTGTGGCTATTAATAAACAGACTAAGATTTCTCTCCTTTTGCAGGGAGTCATGTGAGTCAGTAAAACTCCAGAGAGGAAATAGCGTTAAACGTGGTAAACATGTCACCGAGTAATATTAGTGACAGAGGGCTTTAAGTTTGCCCAATTTCCTGCTAACATTTTCAGATGCATTATAGCAGATCTTAATAAATAACAAATCACTCATTTTAATGTCCATGTATGGTTCTTAGTACTTGTTTGTGAGAGAGAGGGAAAAGTCTAAACAGCGTTGTGAGAATGATATATGTCACTGGATAACTGAGGACTGAGCGTTGGCAGAGTGGACTGTTGGCCAAAATGCTGTGGTGCTTCATTCGGGAGTGTTATTGTGGAGCTTGTGACTTAAAACTCAGTGCAAGGAAAATGTACAGTGTGGGTGGTTCATATGGATGGGTTTTGGTAGAGGATGAAAGTGGTTCTCCAATCAAAAACACTAAAATTGCCTGTGGTACTTGGCTGGTAGCTGAGAGGAGACATTAAATCTGATCTAAATCAGTGTTCGCTTTTTTCCCAGATGAAAATAACTGCGTATGAAAGGGTGGAGGATTTATGAGGGTGTCAAAACACATGGCAGATGGGCTGGATTAGGACTCTGGAGCACTGTAATCTAAAGCCTTGCTGCCAAGCATTACAGAGGATCTTCCCCTGCTGCTGGGCTACACTGAATATACACAGTCTGAAGGAGCATATGCAGGCACTGAAAAGGAAGAATTGTCAAAGGAACAGCTTGCCGAGAAATAACCAACTGGAAAAGCATGATTTTTTTCTTTTGTGGTCTTCAAACAAACACACACACTTCTTGGAGGAAACTTTCTTGGAAAGAAAGAAACAAAATTCTGACAATTTTATTTTGGATTTAAGAGTTTTAAATTGCAAATTCCTGACCAGGTGTGGACATGTTACCACAGGGAAAAGGCTCTGTATTGTTGGAACCTCCAGTGACTGATGGGTATGAGAAGAAAGGTGGAGAACAAACAGTAGCTAGATTAGACAGTATAGATTCACTAACCCTCCAGTTTGTGTGATGGAAGGTTTCAGTTTGGTTCTGTTAATCTGGAGGAGCCTCATTGAGAAATATCCATTTATGGCAAGTGGCTCCAGAACCATTTCAGTTATCAATATAATCATGCACAGGAAGTTCCTAATGAGTCTGCCAGCTCTTGAGAAGGTACAGGTATGCAAAACTAATATCTGGAAAACAGTTCAAAGTGTCTGAGTCTGAACAATAATGAGAATCCTAATTAGAGAGGAGTTCCCCATCTCTCAAATTTTCCCTGTTCTTACCTGAATTATTCCTTCCTTCTATTTTATTAGTTCCATGTCAGTGTTGTTTCCCTTATCATTCTTTCCGTCTCCACTCTCCCCCTCCTCTTCCCTCTGCAGATAACCACAAAAGCAATGATGTGATTTTTTTAAATGAGAATTCACTTCTGTAATTTGTCTCTTTCTTTACTCCTTTCTGGTTTATACCATTTCATTTTTCAGCTTCAGGATGAGACAGAGGAGAAAACATAGATTAAATAACTTCTGCCATGCAGCCATGTTGATATTTCTTCTCCATTGATAAAGGAAAAAATTATAGTTGATAAAGGAAAAATTTAGAGTTTGCAACTTGCATATATGGAACCAGATAATCTTTAAGGAATGACTAGGGAACATGGAAAATAAGTTCCAACACATCTCAGCCACAGGCGCAAAAGAATTTAAAAGTGGTAAAAATAACAATAGGGGATGAAAGAAAAAAAGGACAAATCAGAAGCTGAACACTAAATTACAACTGAGGGGTATAAGTGAAACCAGCAGAGCTGAGATTTGAAGAGTCTTGTTAAATAAACTCAGAGAATCAGTTGAGTCGCCTAAAAAAAGGCATGGTGGGACAGTGCCACAACAAATGAGTAGCACAACTAAAAAATGCTGTTAACTAGTCAGGGAATAAATAATTTTTGCTGGATGCATCTACCTGTGCAATTAATGTGAATCAAATTCAGGACCAATTTGAGCTAGAGTTAACTGCTCCTGGGCACAGCATCTACATGTGCACCCAGGACAACAGCAATTTGAGCTGGGGCAGAGTAGGCCCCTAGCTTGCTGGGCTTATTGGGTGTAATTTATGCCCTTTGGTCAGCATCCACATGTGTGTTTCAGCCCAGTTAATTACTCTGCCATAAAATAGTACTGTCCCCGACGGTACTATTTTATAGCAGTGTTAATTAGTTTACTGTGCCCTAATACCAGCACAGATGTAGACAATGATGCTTTCCTATGGAGCTAATTAATTTACTCCTCAATAAAGTGCACATGTAGAAGTTGTACCCAACGGGCATGTGCAGACAAGAGCGCACACGTTTCCCCAGGGACAACTAGAAATGGCACATTTGTGTGCCCCCATGGAACTCCCCTGTTTCTCCCCATGGAACTCCCCTGTGTGTGCTCTCTGGTGCAGGGCAGATTGCTCCGGGTGGGGTGGGGTAGGGGAGGCTGGGGCCAGCATCTGGGCTGGCTCCAGCAGTCTTACCTGGGATTCTGGGGGGCCTCCTGGGGTTGTAGTGATGGTGATCTGGGCTCATGGAGCCTGGCTGGCAACTGGAGTACGGCTGTGGCCAGCCAGGCTCTGGTGTTGCGAGGTGCACATAGCTGCCATGTGCACCACGCCGCTCTTTTGGCATGCTCTTTTCTGATGATGGGATTTCTCAGCATCTAAATTTGGTTCTTTACTGCAAATATGGGACTAGGAGGACAGGACTAGGAGCAATGGCTTTAAGCTTCAGCAGAAGAAATTTAGGCTGGAGATTAGGAGGAACTTTTTGACTGAGGGTGGCTGAGCATTGGAACCTAGAGAAATTGTGGAATCCCCATCTTTAGAAGTTTTCAAGAGCAGGGTAGGCAGATGCTTGGCTTGGATGGTTTAGTCAAGAGATGATTTTGCCTTGAACAGGGGACTGGACTAGGTATCCTTGTGAGGTCCCTTCCAGACCTACTTTCCTTTGATCTTAACTTCAAACAATGGGCATAAACAAAGAAACAAACACTTTTATGGTTCATGAGATCAAGGAAATTTTTCTCACAAAGAACTAGGAATCAGCTTTTTGAGAGGTAGTGTAAATTGGCTCCAGTGTAATGGTACTGCTTCTGGTACCTGAACAAGCTCATTTAGGGTGCAGAAAGAAATGCAGCTCCCCAAGAGGAATCTAGCTGCTGGCTAGAAGCCTGCAGCCAGTTTCCTGTAGCAGTGGCCCCTCCTCTTTCCCAGCCTATTCCTGTTTCATAATGGGATATGGGAAAGGGAGCAGAGGGAGCTCATGCTAGGGTTTTCCCAGCCAGCTCTTGAAGGGAGGGTCGGGTGGATGAATTGATGCCAAAACTGGGG